TGTACAGAGACACGATCCTTCTAGTGGGTCCTTAGTAAATATTACTTTTTACGAAAATCGATGCATGGTGTTGCCACCTAATTTTACAAAAAATCGCATATAACTATTAAAATGATATTTATTATAGATCTCCGTTGCTCTTATATATAGTTTGTCGAAAAAAAAATCCCACATTTTGGGTTTGCAAAATTACCCAAAAAACGGGGAACATTTGTAACCTAGGTAATATTTCGAACCGAAATCTACCACGGCTCAATAAAGGTCGACTCGCTGCAGGGAAGCCAGGTAAATTTATCATCAGAGAAAAAATACTCAAACTCGGCCGCCACCTTGGATTTTTCCTTTTTTAAATACTTTTAACTTATCCACTTTGGTGACAGAAACATTTTGTCCATACATTGTACAGATGTAAGGTGACTCCTTCTAGTACTTCCTTAGTACTGTTTACTATGAAAATTAGTTAATACTTCGCACCGAGAGTTTCCATTCCTCAATAGAAGTCAGTTCGCTGCAGGGTTGATAGGTGCCACAAAACTGAATTTACTAAAAAGACCTTAAAATTGTCATAATAAATAAAGTATCCTAATTCGGCCGCCATCTTGGATTTTTCCTTTTTAAATACTTTTAACACATACATTTTGGTGACAGAAACACTTCATATATACATTGTACAGAGCCCAGGTTACACCTCTAGTTCCTTAGTACGGTTTACTATGAAAATCGATGTATGGTGCTGCCAGATGATTTTGACAAAAACCACCTAGGATCCTTTGGGGGATGATTTTGAACCAATGCTCATCACTGTTTTGTTCAAATTAACGAAAAAAAAAATTCCCACGTTTTTTTACTTTTCTCCGAAATTACCCCAAAATCGGGGAAAATTTTTAGACCAGGTAAAATTTTCCACCGAGAGTTTCCATTGCTCTATAGAAGTCAACTCGCGTCAGGGATTAATTGTACCCCAAAATTGAATTTTAAAAAGTCCCTAAAATTGTCAACATAAATTAAGTACCCTAACTCGGCCGCCATCTTAGATTTTTACTTTTTAATACTTTTGACGTATTCACCCTAGTGACAGGAACATTTCGTTCATACATTGTATAGAGCCTCAGCGACTCCTTCTAGTTCTATTCTCTAAGAAAACTGATGTAAGGTGTTGCCAGATAATTCTGACAAAAAACACCTAAACTCAATAGGGGGATTGTTTTTGACAGATTTTCATCATTCTTTTGTTTGAAATGTCCAATAAAATTTTTCCCACTTTTTAGGACCTATCTCAAAAATTACCCTAAAATCGGGGAAAATTTTTATACCAGGTAATACTTTGTGTTGAGACACATCATCTCTCCATAGTAGTCGACTGGCTGTGGGGTTGCCAAGTGTCCTAAAACTACATTTAAAAATATCCCAATTTTTCTCCGAAAAGCAAAACTCCCCTATCTCTGCCGCCATCTTGGATTTCTAAAATTTCATAATTTTCCCTAGAGGCCGAGTCCTTCGGCTATCCGACGCCGTACAGTGCGTTGAGCTAGCATACTCGTAGGTACCCTATCAATTTCAGTTTTTGAAGCTAGACCTCAATTTCAAAATTTGTCCGATGATGTATGGGTGTTGCCAGCAAATTCTGAAGAAATCCACCTAAAACCCTTCAGGGGACGATTTGTAGTAGACCAAAACGAGTTCTTCATTTAAAATGTCAAAAAAAAAATTTCCCACTTTATGGGACTTTTTTCCAAAATTAACCCAAAATCGGGGAAAAATTTTAGACCTGGCAAATCTTCTTACTCAGACTTACCCATGTCAGTAGGTGGCGTTTAGCTGCAGGGTTGCCATGTGCAGCAAAAACTCGATTGAAAATATCCCAAATTTTTTCCAAAAACTAAATCTCCCATAGCTTGGTCGCCATCTTGGATTTTTGAAATTTCATAATTTTCCCTAGAGGCCGGGTCTTTCAGCCTCCCAATGCCCTATAATAGGGATCGGTAGCTCCCCCGCAAGTACCCTAGGAATTTCAGTTTTTAGAGAGACACCCCAATTTCTATTTTGGTCAAACCATGTATGGGTGTTGCCAGCAAATTCCAACAAAACCCACCTAAAACCCTTTAGGGGATGTTTCTCGATAGGCCTTGATGCCTCTTTTGTCAAAAATGCCGAAAAAATTTTTTCCCACTTTTTGGGACATTTCTCCCAAATTACCCTAAATTCGGAAATTCTTTTTATCGCTGGCAATTATACTTCTTACCGAGACCCATCATCGCCCCATAGAAGCCGACTCGCTGCGGGGTTGCCCTGTACCTAAAAAATGATTTTGAAAATAATCCGGATTTTTAGGACCAAATTCACACGCCCCCAACTCGTCGGCCATCTTGGATTTTCGAAATTTCATAATTTTCCCTAGAGGTCGGGTCCTTCGAGTTTCCTATGCCCTACAACCGGTGTCGCCAGCACCCCCGCAACTACCCTGGGAATTTCGGTTTTTGAAACCCTAGAAAATTTTCAACCAGTTTTTGGCAATTTTTTCGCCGCCATCTTGGATTTTAATTTTTTGTTTTTACGCCATATTCTGGGTCCCGCCGAGACGTGCCAAATCACTCTTTGAACGGAATCGATCCGAGCGAAACTGTAAAAGTTAGCCGCCATCTTTGTCCGCCATCTTGGATTTTCCCAAATTTCGGAATTTTCTCGTGGTCACCCTAGCCAAAGGAACATTTCCCCCATACATCGTCTCGACCCCCGGACGCTCCTTCTGGGAGAACAACTATGTCAATCAGTGAGTGAGTCACCGTAATGCAGCTTTATATATTATAGATTATGATTTTCTACTAAATATATAATATTACACCACTTTATCATAATCGGTGGTTCATATCGTTTATAGACATAAAAATTCAATACGCGTCGCGTGACAACAACGCATCATGCAGATCATCACTCGTTATTACAGTATTAAAAGCATGCACGGTAGGTTGGGAATTAAAAATTATCGGCTCTTATTGGCAGTTCAAGTTGGTATAACTAGATCTTGTCAACAGGTACTATTTACAATGTACTGGAGTGTAGATTAACAAACCCCGATTAACAAATAATCAATAAATGCTATTATTTTAATTCACACAAACAAATTTAAGTGTTAACAATAAGCGCATAAACTTTGTTTGTAATAAATAATCATAGAAATATGTTTATACCGTACCTATTAGCGATTATACGCGTAATATACACGCAAAAATACAACCTACTTTTAGTCGGTTTTGTAAAAATTAAACAGTATTTAGTATTAATAGAATATATTACTTGTATGTAACATATACACTAATTGTGTCCGTAGTTTCAACGGTCTGAAATTTTTAATCTGTGTAATTTGAAAGGTATATGTAACGTTTATTAAAATCAATTCAATAGTTTTTGCGTGAGAGAGTAACAAACATCCCATCCGCACTCATAATCTGCGTTTATAATATTAGTATGATACACCTGACAGATTTTCATTATTAAGTATTATTATTATTTATAATAAAAAAAAGTTTAGCTATTTAATAACTGGTTAATATTTTTTTTTGTGTTACATGCAATAAAAAAATAAAATTATTACTAAATATGCTTTGGAGATACTCCATGTTGAGTAAGTTGCAATCATAATATACACACATATATATATATATATATATATATATATATATATATACATATATATATGTTTTATATATATATATATATATATATATATATATATACATGTAAGAATTAATGTGATACAAAATACATAAACTCTATATAAAGTATATCAAGCAATAACTACAAGACTATCTAAAATGATACAAGCAATCAATCATCCCTTTGAGTGTTTGTGTTGAAATTCAATTTAATGCCTCCAGTTTGCGTTAAACCATAATATAAGTAGTATTTGTGTGTGTAAGTTGTATATATATAATAATTATTCGGCGGCGTGTTGCGATAATACAGATTTAGATAGAGCACCGACTGAGGAGATAACCCCTTACATAGCTTAAAGCACATAACGCTTACCACCCTCGCAGGTACAGTCAGCAAAATAATCTGCAAACGAAATATAAATCTCCTAATGGCAATAATAAGAATGTCTCATATAGCAGATGGTAGATAGAGACATAGTTAACTGTTGATGTCCTCATGAACGGAATAATTGACGATTGGTTGAGTATATTTTAAACCACTGTGTTGGTACAGCCAGCAAAATGCACTGCAAACGAAATATAATTTACTAGCTGTGCCAGCGGATTCACTCGGGTGAAATTTATATTTTAAGTCGATTTCTGATGTATGTTTATTACGTACCTATTAGTGATGATACGCGTAATATACCTATATACAAAAACACAAGCTTTAAGGCGCTGTTGCAAAAATTAAGCAGTATTTAGTGAACATGGTACTACACAAAGTATAAATACAACAAGCTTTTTACTTTCCTGAAATTTTTAATCTGTGTAATCTGATGTACCATCTATACTACTGTAAAGTATCATTAAAATCCAAACAGTAGTTTTTGCGTAAAAGAGTAACAGATATCCATTAATCCTTTCATCCATACCCACAAACTCCCGTGTTTATAATATTAGTAATATTTAATCTCCTAAATGACAATAATAATAATAATAATATCTTATATTCAGGATGGGGTAGACAGAGCCATGAAGAGCATATTCGAGAAATTCAAACATTTATAGTGCAATCCTAGGTAGCCAGGATGGGTCGTTAGTATCTAATATAACGCAATATTTATAGCAACTTGATAACAAATTCTCTTGAGCGATGTGAAAGTATGAGATTACTACTAGGTAATTAAATTACAAGTATACTTAATTGATACTTAATATAGACTATCCGGTTTACTAAATAGGTCCTGATTTATGTTCTAACCAAATCCATATGGACAACTATAAATAGTCGTGTTTCTGTTGTATTTAGTATCATTGTTGTTTTGTGTTCTTTACTACTAACACATTCAGTCACCCACATTCAAAATGAAAATCGTAAGTATTCTTTGTATTCATTTTTTTAATTATTTTGTAACTAGCAGTTAGGTACTTTGAGATAATTGTGAGTAATGTTTATATTATTCATCTTTTTCCCAAATTGCGTCATTATCCGAGCAATTTTAAGTCATTACAATTCTTAAGTTAATCTATTATATGATCTATTTTACCGTACCGCATTTTATTACATAACAGTTCAATAGTAAAAATAGAATAATAATAATATCCGATATAAAATAACGGATAAAAAGTCTTTTCTTTCTTACACGAAATAATAAGTGTATCTAATATATTCACAGCTATTAAAATATATAACATTAGTTTACTATTAAGGTGCCGAGGTAATATGCAAATTTATTATTAAAAATGTAAAGTTACAACAATTATTTAAAAGAGCAACACGCAGGTTATGCTTATTCTTGTTATGATACAACTTTCCGATTGAGCGGTAGATCAAAAAATAGGATGACTATTCAAATGGTTTATATGAATAAAGAATATTCTATTGTATTTGATATTACAATTTCTAAAATTATATTTCTTCTCTACTCGTAGATCGTGGTCTTCAGTTGCTTGGTTGCTGCGGCGCTGTCTGCCCCAGCTGCTGGTCTGAGAGAGTTGCCGGCTGTACGCCACGAGGAGGTGCATGATGAGTATGGCCAGTATGCTCTCCGGTACATCACTGCTGAGAGTAAGTACCCACAATAATCTTAATTAAATATAAACATCTCATGCTGATTGAGATTCTTCTTCAAATATTTGTGGTCCATAATATATAAATAAACATTAATAGATTCATTGAAATTTCACTATCGGGTACTTTCGAGAAATATCGGGATTACAAAAATAATATAAACCCCGTAAATATCCTATTTATATGCAATGTATTATCAAAAATACTTGTATTTGTTGCTTTCCATATTTGTGAGGTTAAACGTTTATTAATTTTTATTATATATAATAAAAATTAGGTTATACGATTGTACACGATAGTGAAAAAAGATTAAAAATGTAGGTACTATGAAACTTTTTTTTGATATGCTCCTATAATATTTGAGTATATAGTGAAATAGCCATTGTTTACTCAATGTAATAATCTTTATTAATTGATTTGGTTATAGTAACATAATTATCATACAAACAATATTACAAAAAAAAACTTATAATACGATTTGGTCACTGCCCTATTTTGAGATGAAATTAGAAATAGATAAAAATTTAATCATTAGGTAACAGGTTGTTTCCATGTGTGTTCCAATATCTACTATCGATTATACTTTAATTTTCTTATCAGATACCGTGGTGTCGGAGCGAGGACGCCTGGTCCCCAGCAACGGTGGCTACGTTCTGGAGATCGACGGCCAGTATCAGTTCGTTGGTGATGATGGACGTTTGTACGTCACCAAGTACCGCGGTGGTCCTGATGGTTTCCACGTCGATGGGGCCCATCTGCCTCAACAAGTACCAATGCCCGCTATTTAAATAAATAAAATTTGTATTTGATACCTTTGTCTACTTTTTGACATGATATCCCTTACTGATTAACTTATTTCTAATATTAGCTTATTACTTCTGCCTACCCCGTAAATGAAGTGGTGTAGTACCCACGTGGTGTAATTTTGAAGAGATCATATACTATAGCCAATGTTTGTATTTTTAAGCTAAAGATTTTTAATATTATTGCTTTGTCTTTATCCATATTCTTCTTATATCTACTTTAATATAATAATATGTGTGTAATAAGCTAATACTCCATTTGTGAATATCATGTTTCATACAGTCCATTGATGTATCTATTAAACTCGGTTATAGTTGCATTAAATGACATCCATATTCATCCATAAGATGACAATTGAATATTTTGAAAATGTTTAGATTTCATGTCATAACATACCTAATGTAATCAAATGTCTTGGTTTTTTAATTGAACTTACTTGGATAATAAATAATATATCATTTCTAATAGATTAATGTTGATATAATAATTTTGTCCCAACTAATTGATACAAGCTTTTTGCTGTAGAATAAACTACAATTACTTTCATAGTTCAGATATGTTTAGAAGCTAATTACTCGTCACTTGATCAAGTTATTAAAGCATTTGGAACTAGCAACTTCTCTTGTATGTGCTGTCGGTACCTGGCAAATTTCTGAAAGGATCCAAGGAGGGTGGCGAGAGGTTTCGAGGATGCGCCGGGGGCGGCAGCTGGCGTGCGGGGGAGGTCGCGGGCTGCGCTGTGACGTCACGTCCTATCTCGGCGGCCATCTTGGATTATCTCGTCGCACCTGCGGGGCGAGGGACGTGGTTCAGTATCGACCCGATGCGAAACCTGCACATTTTTTGGGATAATGTTGATAATATCTGGTAAATGTTTTTTCAATGAAGTTATGTATGTCACATAATTATTTGTTAAATTTGGGTACTAGTTGGAAAATACGTTTATGTTATTATAATCAAGACTTGAATTTGATAATAATTAAATGTGTACTCAAGTAAAGACACGTACCTGCATACCATATATATACATAAATTCGTAGAAGACAATCTACAATAATCAAAATGAAGATAGACACTTATGAAATCACACCGCAAAAAGAATCATTCACATCGGTAAGGTATTAGCGAACAGTTTACCAACAAATACATTAAGTATCGCAGTCTGATTGAAAGTGTAACTTGATAATTTATATTTACAAGTGAATAAACTTGTACGTTTTGTTTTATCCTCTCGTATTGTACGGTGTTATAAATGTAATAAATTCTATAAATATAATATTATGTGCTACTCAACCTAATAGACGCGTTATTAGATTGATGTGGCATATTTAAGGAAACTATACATTAATAACAAGAAGAAAAAACATTGCAATCGACTTAGTATTTCCATACCAATATTCTAATTTGAATGAGTATTTGATTCTATTTCTGTTTGTCTATCTTTCTGTCTATTTATAACCTTTTTTGACTAAACGGTTGAACTAATCTTGACGAAATGTTACGTGAAGATATATTATATAATAGGCTATCGTTGTATTAAAAAAATAGACTAAATTGCGGGCAAAAGCTAGTATATAATAGATAATAAATGCTACACATGCATATCAAAATATAATATGATCCAAAACTATTATACAAGTGTATATGTTAAAATTCCACCCGCACGCGCCATCGTTATCTGTCTGCGGCAGTTTGGACACGCGATACGATCTCCACCCAGACTCCGGCCCTCCGCCCTCAGATGATCCGCCCTTTGCTTCTATTTACAAGGGCCCAAGGGCCTAACGCGCGATTTTATTTTTTGCCTAGTCTCCAAAGGCCCTTGTTGGCTTTTAGAGTTGATGTCTTTGTTATTTACGATTTGATGACACAAATTCTTTTAAGAGGTCCATTATTTTGCAATTAATTAACGTTCCGTAATGTAGGTATGTGTTGTTTTAAAAGATGATGTAATGTGTAATAATGTGTAATTACAACCGGTTGTGTTGTGTAATTAGATAATATAGCTTGAAACCTAACAAAAAAACAATATATCGCTATTTTTTTTATAATAGAGATAATTTGCCTAAAAATAATAAATACCGCCTTTTTTCGTATTTCGTATTCTTTAATCACAAAGAGTTGAATACATTTAAGCTTGAATTTCTTCTTCAAACACATATAAAACCAATTATATATTAGTATTATATAAATTTAAAATCTTGTTAATATCTTATTAGATTCGGTAGAGTCATTCGTGAGATACACCTTGATCTTTGTGAATGAAATGATTGTGGTCTAATGTGAAACTGTCTTTATATATCATTAGAAGCTTAAAATAAATTTTTAGGCTGTTGATTAAATATAAAAAAGGTTACAAAGAGTTCAAAGGGAAGATGAAAGGTTGTATGGAAGTATAGTAATTTTTAAAGCTAGAAGCTTGAAACTTATTTTTTATGCTGTTGAATAAATATGACATAAATATCAATAAACATCTACATTCAAAGTTTTTTTAAACTGCTACGATTTTAAGAGGGTTAAATTAAATTAGGGGATGAAAGTTTACATGGAAATTTCCCATTTGAAGCAAGAACTATGAAACTGTTTTCATTGGAGTTTTGATTTAGTTATTAGTTTTTTTTTATTTGGTCAATGTCACTAATCGACGAAGTCGCGGGTATAGCTAGTAATATCATAAAATGATTCAATAAAGGCAACCATCCCTGTAATTAAAATACACAGGAAAGTCATTAAGTGGCAATCAACGTGTCAACTTGGAGACCACCGTATTGCCTAGGGCTCCACTAAAACAATGCACTTGGGGCTATTAAGAGCGCGTGCGGCGCAGCTGCGTGTGCGCACCTCACCGCATCAAACACTCGTGTAGAGGGCGCTGTTTTGTCCCGGAAGAGCGTGAAGAGGGTAAACTGAGGCACGTGCTGCTGCCTGGTGGTCTGACCACCGGAGACGTGATGGGTGGTGACACTAAATATAACATGCAAACGTTATTCAGAGTAAAATTTCAGTATACTTATATCAACCGTTTCTGAATTATTTTATTTATTTAGAATGGCAAACAAACTGACCGCCCACCCGATGATAAGTGGAACCGTCGCCTATATGTATGACATCACGTAAAACTGTGACTCCCGTGTTAAGTATCTTTTAAATATTCCAGAATCCCAGAATTGCTCGATGTGTCCCAATAAATGCCCCGAATATATACACCTCGTATACCTACAGTTATATGTGTGCTATGATTAGAATAGTTTCGATCTCCTTACTCAATTGCTAAAGAGGATTTTATATATTGAAGGTAGGTATATCAATACAAGTACGTACGTAAGTATATGGTGTATACTGAATAACCCTGTATATGTAAATTTTTCCTAGCAATGGAAATTTCTAGAACATCTAGTGGCACCGTTATCACCTGGGGGTATAAGAGATAGCATGCGATCTATTCTCAGATTCACCAAATATACCCCAAATATTTTACAAATATATGTACTTAGGTCTAACTGTTTCGGAGGAGTTCGATAACAAACAATGTGACACGAGACTTTTATATGTGGGATTGTTATTATAGTTAAGCGAATTCATAATTTTTGCTAAATAAGATATTTACTTAATTTGATGCTGTCTAAAATCGGCAACCACATAACTCTTTATAAATTACTGAAATTCTAATATCAATGACGAAAAGAAGAACATCGGTCAATAAATGAACGGATACCGTGGGTGCTCTGCGTCGCTTTTATTAGACAATCCAGTGACGGTAGTTGAATAAACTGCTGACATCTACTGACATTGATACTACTGTCCGCCAGTTAGATTAGATACATTATTAAGTAATAGTAATAACAATGATCTCAGGACAATAGACACAGCGCTATCCTGAGCCTAGTTAAACTAGCTAAAACTTGTGTTATGTGTACTAGATAACTGACACAAATACTGAATAATTTATATATATTTATTTGACGTAAATACATATTATACATTGAAAACATTTTGACCGATATGAACTTGTCATGAATATAAATGTTTGTGCCGTGCGGGGAATCGAACCCGCGACCATCGGAAGTAAGGCGGTGTGCTAAACCACCACCACCGAGACCACCGAGACCGTCAAAATGACTTGATAGTTTGATGCTGAGTGGTTAACCTTATAGACTAATTTAATTAAAACGTTAGAACTTTTAGTGAAAGAAAGAGAGTTGAAAGTTAAACCAATAGACAAAAAATTCATGTCCAATAAGATTAACTGGTATCCAATACGAAACTACAAGTATATAGTTAGTACGATGTAAGATCGTTAATATTCTAATAGAATCTACTATTTTATAAATATAAACTTATATTGATGGGGTTATTGAGAAATACGGACACACCAGCTGCCGAAGAATCATGGGGGTCTTTGCAAAGAATACTTCGTTAACAGAAGTGATATTGGGTTAAAAGGCTTACAATGCGAAAGTAGCAAGATGCAGATACACATACCGTCGGAAGTATAGACATATCAATGATATCGATGGATGTAAATAGTATTCTGTTTGATGAAGAAATCAAGAGAAGAATGAAAAAGTAGAAAAATCTTTAGAAGGTAAGGTAGATACTTACTCTTATTTTTGTATTCTTGTAAAACTATAAGATATAATTATGTACCTAAATTTTTGAGTAGATACCAAAAAATCTCAACTGTTCAAAAATTCACAATTATTTATTTAGGTAACACGATTTTACAACTACATTCTACAATTGTTGAAGACTCCTTTTAAGCGTAAAGATACCTGTGCCAGGAACTCCAGCTGTAATAATTTTGTTTCTTCATTTATTTGTAATTACTATTTTTTTTAGTCAAATATTAAGTCTCGGAAAGTTCAACAGAAATACACATACTTTCTCTTTTATAGTATTAGTATGAGTTAGTTAGCATTTAAGAGTAACGCTTTATGTCTTTGGCCGATCGGAGTAAGTTTTTTTTAATATTCTTTGAACGGAG